ATAATTTGAAACGTTCTCCGTGTTTAAACAATAACATATACATACCCTTTTCTAGATATATACAAACAAATTCCAAAACATGAAACAACAAAATCCATTATATAATCCTTCCCCTCGCCAGCTCTACAATGAAGTAGTCCAGGCCTTGGGACCCTAGATGTGGGTTTAAAAGGAAGGACTACAACACCATTCCTTTTAAACCCACATCCAGGGTCCCAAGGCCTGGACTACTTCATTGTAGAGCTGGCGAGGGGAAGAATTATATAATGGATTTTGTTGTTTCATGTTTTGGAATTTGTTTGTATATATCTGGAAAAGGGTATGTATATGTTATTGTTTAAACACGGAGAACGTTTCAAATTACCTTATTCCTGTGTTACAACTACAATTTATTTTGTAGCTCTTTGAACAACATATATATATATATATATATATATATATATATATATATATATATATATATATATATATATATATATATATATATATATATATATATATAAGATTTGGTTTCGGTTGGTTATAAAAACTTTTGGTAAAGTGCTCAATGGAAAACCAGAGCATATTTAAATTAAGGTACAACAATTATCAACAAAATCCACTAGGCATCTTTATTACTAAGTAGTTTCGTACCGCAAAATGTGGCACTAAATTGACCATATGGCACTCTTCAGATAAATTGACCTAAGTTAGTTAAGTTTGACCACATTTTGTGTAAACTATTTAGTAATACAGATGCCTAGTGGATATAGTTGATTGTTGTACCTTAATATGTATATATATATATATATATATGTACTATTTAAAGCACTCGTAGGAGTGTTTTATCAGATATAAAACGCGAGGCGCAGCCGAGCGTTTTATATCTGATAAAACACGACTACAAGTGCTTTAAATGGCTTAAAAAACGACCCATCTTCTGATGACTACATTAGCGAAGTAATTTTTAAAATAAACTTTGTCTAAACCGAGAAAATCAAAGCTAAAGTTTATGTAAATGAACATGATTTTATATCACATATAAAGATACGACACGCTTATGACTTTTCTTTGTGTTTTGCTCCTGAATTATTAATGAGTTTTTTAAATATATATATATATATATATATATATATATATATATATATATATATATATATATAGTATATATATATATATATATATATATATATATATATATATATATATATATATATATATATATATATATATATATATATATATATATATATATATATATATATATCAGTTTGGAAATTATATATGAGCCTATTTCTTAGAGACATGGTAAATATCTCCTTACGAGAACAATTCATTCACAAGGAGCTGCAATATTCAACTACTATAAGCTTGAAACTTGTGCTCCCATTAAGCTTTGCGCGCTTAGAGTTTAAGGTTGAAGGCTTAGAGTTTAAGGAGTTTGCAAAGGACAACCTTTTTTGAATTAGCCGTTTATATAAACGAAGAAATTTTATATGGTACGCCAAATTATGTCCGAAGTTCAGTACGTTTTGCCTATATTGCTGTATAAAATATGTCGCGTAATTATCAATGATAATTGTAGTGTAGTGTTGATATTAATACAATTAGTTAATTAGTTAATATATAAGTAAGGGGTGTGGTTTAAAATAGGGAAAGGACAAAATACATTATTCAGAGACAGGATCGAAAAGCTGTAGCGATTCAGATGGCGAAAGAAATAAATACTTAAAAAACTCATTAATAATTCAGGAGGAAAACACAAAGAAAAATCATAAGCGTGTCGTGGTTCTATATGTGATAAAAAATCATGTTAATTTACATAAACTTTAGCTTTGATTTTCTCGGTTTAGACAAAGTTTATTTTAAAAATTACTTCGCCAATGAACTCGTACAAGATGAGTAAGCCATTTAAAGCCATTTAAAGCTATATGTGATAAAACACTCCTACGCGTGCTTTAAATAGTACATAAAACGTTATATTGGCGACGAGGTTATAAAATAAAGTACGAAATTATCGATAGAGAATTAATTTGCAAATCGCCAAATGAGCGAAAGTTCCGAAGAAAAAACAGAACCAGTAAACAACAACGCTGATACTGGCGAATGTACAAGCCGCTTTGCCATTTTTCCCACCATTTGTACCGGACCGTGACCCCGCATCTACAGGACCCCGTTGGACCAAATGGGTCAAACGTTTTCGGAAAACTTCTTAACAGCAATGAATGTAACCGAGCCCAAACGAAAGCGTGCACTACTGCTTCACTACATTGCATATGATATTTTTGATACCCTATACACGAGACGGGAGAGGACTACGATACAGCGATAGAGAAACTATCTGGTTATTTTACGCCGAAGAAAAATATCGACTACGAAGTCTATGTATTCCGACAAGAAAAACAACGCACTGGAGAAACTCTTGATCAGTATGCGACACGTCTAAGGAAATAAATAAATACATAAAACATTATAATAATGTATTTGAATTGACAATATTTTTACTATTATTTTGTGTTTTTCAACTGCCTGCAGATACATTTAAAAAGAATACTAACTGCATGTTTATGCAAAATATATGAAAATATATGAAAGCTAAAACAAAGTAATTTTGAGGGAAATGCCAAAACGATTTAGGTTTTACTTTTCATCGCTAAAATAGTTCACCCCCTCCCCCGCCCCATCCCCTCCAGGCCAACGATAAGGTAAGGTGTGAAATTAATAAAAAAATCCCAGATCGGATTATTGTGCATGCGATAGAATTAATTCAATAAACACTTCCAAAATTTTCTTAAGGGCACACGACGCAATATAGCTTGAAATTAAGGCACACATTGCAATGTAATCCATTGAAAACAAGGGGCTGTTCATATATTTTTTTGTTATAATTAGACAAACTACACCTAATTAATTGTATGACGACTTGGTCTGTTTAGGTCTAACAATTATTGTTTGTATTTTCGAACTATGCCGTTCAATACTGTACTATGCCGTTCAATACTGTACTATGCATATAGATCAAAATCGGCAAAAGATGTCCATCCCGGGCATGTAGGATAAAGCGTTCATCAATATATGGAAAATGTTATGCCACTTGACTGAGATCCCACCCAGCGTAAGGTGAGATCACGAGCTGGCTCGTTTCTCATAACACAAATTGAATTCAGTATCAAATTGAATAATGCATTAATAAAGATCATGCAGATATCGCTCAGTCAGATGTTTCCTGATTAGCTGGGCTCATATACGAACAGGGCCTATGTACTGTAGTATATTGTTCATTGCCAGACGCTAAATTTGGCCGGAAGTGTCGATTGTCGTGTATAACTGTAAGGACTATAATGCTGGATTAAAGCCCCGTTTACACTACGCTCGATTTTTGGTACCGTACCACTTTTTTGGTTCTTGGACTATCTAAGTAGGTAGTCCAAGAACCAGAAAAGTGTTACGGGTACCAATTTTATCCGTGCCGTACCAAAAATTGAGCGTATACTGTAAACGGGGCTTATAAATTAAATTAATATTATTTGTTTACACGAAGAGTTGATATCTTATTGTGATGAATACAGGGGCGTTATTAATTTTTATAATTACCATCTACGGATCTATACCTACTTTGCTTGTGTTTACATTCATTGATAATTAACACCAATCAATTAACACAGTTGAGACCACCACAGAGCTGAAAAAAATTAGTGGCAACATAAATAGTGATATATAAATAAATTGGATCGGATCAGATAAAATATAACACTGCTTGAATTAAGAAGTTCAACAGAAATTTTGAGTGCTTCACGTCAGCCTTTGCATCCTTGAGACACTTCGTGGAAAACGTTGACGATTGTATGTCAGCGGCAAAAATTGGTTTCCGCGAATTAAAAAAGCCAATATTCGAAGCTAATTTAGTAATTATAAGAACACGTCATTAACAGATAATTAATTCCATACTAGACTAATCCCACTTGCCACGCCATTTTCACGTCCCGTCGCGTACGTTGCGTTTGCTAAAGCAGTCTATTCAAGTCATAATCACTTTCAAATGTTGTTGCGACACCCGCGGCTTTAGATTGTTTGCTTGCACGTTTAAACGATTGTAGCGTCTTACTTGCAGAGAAACTATGTCAATTATGTGGTGTTGGTTTCAAAATGTTGGTAAGAATTAATTTACAAATCAGAAAAGTCTGTTTCAAAATATCCATGGAAGGCGTCCATAATTGACATAAATATCAACATTTTCAAAATCATAATCGGGACCGATCAATTTTTATGGCGTGGTGGTGACAACAAAATTAAAAGAAATATTTTTCTTGGTACAAATTTTGCTGATCCAACCAAAAACTTTTAACCAACCCCAAAAATCAATTAAAGAATATTTAATACCCACTGGCCCCTAGCCAAAGACTTTGCAAAAGGATACCATTCAGTTGTCACACATGTTCTTACCACTTCTGTGACATAAGAACGAGTTTTAATAACTGCTTGTGCAACTTTCACGTTGTCTGCATAATGTACTTTCATTGGAGTTATCATTTACATCGTGACAAATCGAAAAATGATGGATGACATGCAGTGACCGTCTGATTGGTTTACATATTGTATTGACATATTACTGTTGATATTGCTTTTAGTCTCCAATATTGAGTGAATCATGCTTTGGAAATGACAATGCATTTTTATTACTGCCCAACCCTTGAGTTTTGTTTTTCATTTACCCAACCTTTCACTCGCCCAAAGTTTTGGTTACCCAACCCTTTTCTCTTCAATGCCTCCCCCCGTCAGTAAAACTATTAAAATAATATATTTAGTCTTTTCGCTACTTTCTGACGTTCACTTAGTCAGAGGCCGCGGAAGCACCTTGAAAGTGTGTGTGTG